TAATTAGAGAACACATGCGTACTCTGCTTGGAATTCTGACATCTTTTAAAGAATAGAACAAAGTTCAGAAAGTTTAATGAAAAAAATTCTTGACATGCATTGCAGGGCTGAAAGAAGAAAAAAAAAGGATAAGGAGTGTCTTTCTCTATGGTAACCTTAGTGTAAATTTAAGAAAATGAAAATACAGTGCTTTGGTAATATTAGCTTCATATATCTTCTTTGAAAGTGTTCATTCTTTTACTTTCTCCAGTGTTAATCTACCCTATCTGAATGCAAAATACTGACTGTTGCCTTTATAGATCTTCGAGTATTTTGCTTTCAGAGCCACATCTATATTCTCATAACTTGAACTTGGTACAATAAATAAGCTTATAAATATTACATAGTATCTTCAAGTTTTAACATTAAAGAATTATAGAATTTAGGGTTAAGGGAACAATTTAAGTTGGAAGAGTTAATATTCAGCTCTATTATAGTTAGGGAATGGAGGCGCTGGGGGTGTATGTCTTAACAAATAGTTTTGAATCACTATTTCATTTCTCCAAGGCTGCCGTTACATGGAAAAGATAAATAACTTTGTTAGTGAAAGAGTTAGGATAAAAATAGAACTATTAATACTTTAATTCAATATTCTGTCTATACCACTGATGTAAAATACAGGTCATTTTAAGAGTTTCTAAAATATTTTGGCCTACATGTACTTTTATATAATTGCTTAAATATATATGTATCCATAAAAAAGAGTATTGTTTTCATGTTTCCAAACTGTACGTAAAAGGTAACATGCAACCTATTCTTTTCCTTCATCATGGGTTTTAAGATACATCCATTTTGATCTTTCATTTCTAACAGCTATACAATTTTTCATTTTACTAATATATAGTATGTTATTATCTGCTAAGGAATATTTGTCATTTCCAATTGTTTATTAAAAAAACACTGCAATAAACATTATGATATGTGCCTCCTAATACACATTTGCATGAACTTCTCTAGGTACAGAGATGAAATTACTACATTGAAGGGTACGCTCATTCTCAATTTTACTTAATATTGGCAAATTATTCCCCAAAGTAATTTTACCAATCTGTATTCCTACTTGTCATGTATAACAATTTCCATTATTTTACAACCTTGACAATACTTGGTCTCTTGAGAGCTAAACATTTTGCCAATCTGATGAGCGTGAAATGGAATCAAATGTTGGTCTTAATTTCATTTTCTAAATTACTAGTGAGAACAAGTACTTTTCCTTATGTTTATTAGCCATTCAGGTTCCTTCTTCATATAAGTATCCTATTAAAATCCTTTGCCCACCTTGCTTTTTTCCCCACTATGGGAATGTTTTTTTAAAGACTGATTTGTAAAAGTCCTCCATATGCTTTAAGTTCTAATCTTTTATTTTCCATCAACCTTCTATCTTGTTTACGAGCCTGTGGAAGAACAGCTTAAGACCATTCAGTGGTTGGTCCTACCCATTCAGTGGCTTGAGCAGTGGGAGCTGCAAACCAGTTTTCCATGGCAGGCTGAGCCAGGCTTCCGTGGGGAAGTTCTAAACAGGCACAGAGGCACCTGCACGCCTTCAGACCAGTCTGCAACCTCAGGTTGAGTAACAGTAAACTCAGCAGCTGGAGCAGTCCCTTCACTCTGAAATTCCTCCCTGGTCACAGCTTTTTCAGCAGCAGCCTGCTCTTCCTTTTCAATCTCTTCAGGATCTCTGTAGAAGTGGAGATTAGGGTGTTCATGGGAGATGGTGTCATGCATGCGGAGAATTTCCTGGGCCAGTATCTACTACATCAGACCCACGGAGTGAGCTCCCTTGCTGTTGCGTGGGATGGCAGTGTGCACATAATGCAGAGGAGGATCTGTGTTACACAGGGCAATGGTAGGCAGGACAATGTAAGATGCCTCTCCGAAACACTGGTGGTCAGCCCTGGGATCAGTAACCATCAGAAGACATGACTCCCAGAATGCTGCCTAGATCTGGTTAGTGAAGATTCCAAGAGTAAAGCTACCAGCACTAGGTGTGGCTCCAGTGGCAGCAGCAAACTTCACACAGCTCACTGGCCAGTATTCCTGGAGGATATGACACTGACTTGAGCAGGGTTTTCAATGGCAGCAATGGCATGTGCTGCCAACAGAAGCTTCTTCCAGGTCTTCAGATTTATGATGCAGATGCCATCACTTTTCCTTTTGCAGATGTACTGTTCCATTTGGAAGTCAAGATTGGTGCCTAAGTGGGTTCCTGCTGCAAGGAATTTGAGGACATCCTCCTCCTTCATTTGCAGGACATCAAGTGCTCCAGACATTGTGAAAGTTTCCCTTTAAGTAACGACGATAAATCCAGAAAAATGCCATATAGACCCCTCTCTGGGTAGCATGGAAAGGCAAGATGTTAGTATCTTTTCCCAGTCTGTATATTTTTACTTTTCACGATGTCTTTTTAATTTCAGGGTAGCAAATTTTATCAGCTTTTTCCTTTAAGACTTTTACTTTTTTGTGTCTTACAAAATTCTGAGTAAATATCTTTTCTGTATTTTTGTTTCTATTAATAAGTCTTTTTCAAAAAGTTTTATTTCTGTAATTTTGCTTTTTAAAACTTCAGAAACAATTTTTATTTATGATATAAAGTATGGATCAAATTTTATCATTTTCCAAGCAATTGTTTCAAAATCATTTATCAAACAGTCCTTCCATTCCCCTAATCTGTAACTTCACATGCCAAGTTTCTCTACAGGTGTAAGTTCATTCTTGGACTTCTTCCTATTGTGTTGCATTAGTCTCTTTCTCCATACCAACACCATACTGTCTCATAGCCATAGCTTGATAGTAATGTGACAGAGTACAAAATATGGCCAAAAATTCTTCCCATCGTAGTATGCACATCCCTTTGCAACATAAGTTTTGCTGCTTCTACCATCAGGGGGTAGAATTTCTTTTCTAGCCCCTTGAATTTGGGTTGGTCTTGTAACTTGCTTTGACCAATAGAATAGAGGAACTTCAAGCAACTTCTAAAGCTAGGGCTTTGCCTTCTTGGAATGCTGCACTGAGACTACCATATAAGGAAGCTCTTCTAGTCTACTAGAGTATGAGGCCATGTGAACTGAGGTGACCGAGTGCAGATATGTGAGTGAGGCCAGCATGTATCTTCCAGTATCAGTGATATAACTGAATGCAGCTGCAGAGTGAGTCTGAGTAAATCAGCGGAGTAACTGGCCAAACCATGCAGTTGTGATAAAATAATTAATAAATTGTTATTATTTTAAGCCACTAAGTTTGGGGTGGTTTGAGCAAATGCTAATTGAAACATAAAAAATACAGATGAATACAGAATGTACATAATTCTATAGAAGTGACCCAGTTCCTGTAACAAACAATGGTATAAAATAAAAAGTATAGGGTCAGCATATAACCAAATGCAGTGTGAGCATCTTATTTTGACCCTGGTTCAAACAAACCATTGAAAAGACTTCCCTTTCAGACAATCTGGTAAATATTGTTATGGACTAAATATTAAATGGTTCTAAGGAATTGTTAATTTTGGTATTTGTGATTATACATTATAGTTAAGAAAATATTGATTTTTTCTTTTTTTTTTTAAGGAACACATTCAGAACCATGGAGGGGTAAAATAAAATGATGCCTGAAATGTGCTTTAGCAAAGACAATAAAGAGAAAAAGGAGGAATGTTTCTAAACTTAAAATCCTTGAATATGTGAGATTCATTTTACTGTTCTCTCTCCTTCTGTATTTGTTAGAAGTATTTAATAGAAAATATTAAACATTATTGAAAACAATCTTGAAGACCAAAGGATATTTACATTTTCCTAGCAAATTAACATCTATCTAGAGCCGTCCAATATGGCACCCCCTAGCCACATGTGGCTACTACCGAGTACTTGAAATGTTGCTAGGGCACTGCTCTCACAGCCTTGGAGATCTAACATGCAGGCTGAAAGGGAGCTGATGTATAGATACTCCAGTACCAAGTTTCACAACTGCTATTTAATAAAAATAATAAATCAATAATGGTAGTGAGGAAATTTTAGAGGGCCACATTCAAGATCTGAAAATAATCAATATACACATGTTCTCTTAAGTAGGTCTAAAGGGTTTAAGATATTGATAAATTTAGAAAACTGCAGCCTCAATGGTTTAATTCAGTCTAGCGTAATAAAGATAAAAAAATTAAAATTCTAGAGTGACAGTAAAATTCAAATATAATTCCAATCCAAAGTTCTCCTATTGAAACAATACCCGTTGTTGAAAAATACAACTAAAAGGAGCCTAAGTAGACCACTTAGCACTTGGCAAAATCAGTAAGTTAACAGCGAGGGGCTTACAAAGACATCTTCCATGATATTTCTGGAAACTGCAAGTAAGTTAGAAAATG